CTTTTGTGATTCTATATAAATTTTTTAAATATTTGTTCTAGTTCTGTGAAATACACCACTGGTATCTTAATAGGGATTTCATTGAATCTATAGATTACTTTGGGTAGTATGGACATTTTAATGATGTTAATTCTTCCTGTCCATGAACACAGTATATGCTTCCACTTATTTGTATCTTCTTTAATTTCTTTCTTCACTGTCTCATAATTTTTTGAGTATAGATCTTTTACCTCCTTGGTCAAATTTATTTCTAGATATTTTTATGTAATTTTAAATAAGATTACTTTCTTTTTTAAAAATATTTTATTTATTTATTTTTAGAGAGGGAAGGGAGGGAGAAAGAGAGAGAGAGAAACATCAATGTGCAGTTGCTGGGGGCCGTGGCCTGCAACCTAGACATGTGCCCTGAGTGGGAAGCGAACCTGCAATGTTTCGGTTCACAGCCCACGCTCAATCCACTGAGCTACACCAGCCAGGGAAAGATTGCTTTCTTAGTTTTGCTTTCTGATAGTTCATTACTGGTGCATGAAAATGCAACAGATTTCTGGATATTTACTTTGTATCCTGCCACTTTACTGAATTCATTGATTAGTTATAGTAGCTTTTCTGTGGAATATTTAGGGTTCTTTATATACTAAATATAATGTATATATATTAAATCTGCAAATAATGACAGTTTTACCTCATTCTTTCCAATTTGAACACCTTTTATTTATTCTTTTCTCTGAAATACTGAAATAGGAACTTCAGTACTATTTGAATAAGGGTGGTGAAAGCAGATGTCTCTGTCTTGGTCCTGATCTTCAGGAATATACTTTTAGTTTTTTTTCCCATTGAGTGTATTGTTGGAGTGTGGGTTTGTCATATATGACTTTCATTATGTTTAGTTTTGTTTCCTCTATTCTCACTCGCTGAGTGTTTTCATCATAAATGGGTGCTTGAATTTATCAAATTTTTTGCATCTATTGATATGATCATGTTATTTTTTAAACATTTTTTATTGTTGTTCAAGTACAGTTTTCTGCCTTTTCTCCTCAGCCCTCCCCACCTCCTTCCTCTGTTTCCACCCCCACCTTGTTATTGTCCATGTGTCCTTTATAATTGTTCCTGTAAACCCTTCACCTTTTCCCCCCATTATCCCCTCCCCTCTCCTTCTGGTCACTGTCTTGTTATTTTTATCCTTCATTTTGTTTATGTGGTGTACCGCATCTATTGATTTACAGATATTGTACCAACCTTGTATTCCTAGAAAAAATGCCACTTGCTCATGGTGTATGATCTTTTAAATGTGCTGCTGGATTAATTTTTCTAATATTTTGTTGAGGATTTTAGTATCTATGTTCATCAGGGATATTGTCTTATAATTTTCTTTCTTTGTAGTGTTTTAATCTCATTTTAGAATTAGGATAATGCTGGACTTATAAAAAGTTTGGTATTCTTCCCTCCTCTTCAATTTTTTAGAGTATTTTGAGTTGAATAGGTATAAGTTCTCCTTTTAATATTTGCTAAAATTCACTTGTGAAATGATCCAGTCCATAAGTTTTATTTGCTAGAAGTTTTTGATTACTGCTTCAACTGCATTAGTTATAATTGGTCTATTCAGATTTTCTTATTCTTCCAGATTCAGTTTTGGAAGATTGTTGTGTTTCTAGAAATTTATCATTTAATCCAGATTGTCCAATTTGTTGGTATATAGTTATTTGTAATATTTTCTTATAATCTTTTGATTTTCTGTGGTGTTAGTTGTTAATTCTTTCTTTCATTTCTGAGTTTATTTGTATCCTATCCCTTGTTTTATTGATGACTCTGGTTAAATGTTTGTCAATCTTGTTTATCTTTTCAAAGAACCAGCTCTTGGTTTCATTGTTTGTTTTTTTTTGTATTGTTTTTTAGACTTTATTTCTTTAGCTTCTGCTCTGATATTTATTATTTCCTTTCTTATCCTAACTTAGGGCTTTGTTTGTTGTTGTTTTTTTCTAGTTCATTTGAATATAAAGTTAGATTGTTTAAGATTTTTCTTCTTTCTTGCATTAAGCCTCTAATGCTATGAATTTCCCTCTTAGGGCTGCATTCACTGTGTCCCATAGATTTGGGGTTGTTGTGTTCTCATTCTCATTTGTTTCAGGATATCTTTTATTTCTTCCTTGATCTCATTGTTAACCCATTCAATGTTTAGTAGCATGTAATTTAGCCTCTATGTCTTTGTGTGATTTTGTGTGTTCACCCTTTAAGAGGGTGCCTGTGTCTCTAGTAGACCCCCTTCTCTCCCTGGCAGACAAATTACTACTGATTTTCACAGCTAGGTGTTATGTGGGCTCCTTTTCCTGTCTCTAGTGCTCTAGGATAGGGAGCCCAGCATGGGGTTGAGACCTCATACTTCTCAAAGGGAACCTTTGCACCTGAGATATCCCTCCAGAATCTTAGCCACCTCCTGTGGAAGCTGCCCCACCCCTTTCCATGTCTTCTTCGTTCTTGCTAGTCTCAATGTGGATTTTACTAGAGGTCCTTGGTTATAAGACTTCTTCTTGCCTAGTCTTCAGTTGGTTATTCAGGTCAATTGTTCTATATTTTAGTTGTAATTCCAGTTTGGTCCTGGGAGCAGGTGAGTGTACCTTCCACATATCTGGCCTCCGTCTTGATATCCCCTCATTCACTTTTTTAATTAAAGGAGTAAAACCATTATCAACTGGTCTACAGAACACATTCTGAGTTCTATAGGCCCAGAGGGCAGATACTGTTGAGGATTTTATTTCTTTCTCTATTAAATTGTATATCTTAAGTGGCTGGAACAGGGTCCAATACATTATAAGTAAGTATTCAGTTAACATTTATTGAACTGCATTAGTGACAGTATGCATGTATGTGTATGTGTATACAGGTATGCTGTTAAATTAATTAAGCCAGGAGGCATTATATTGAGGTGGTGCTCAATATAATGCTTTGGCAGCATAGGTAAGCAAACCAAAACCCAAGTCTATAGATGCCTCAAGGTTAATAAGTTCAAACCTTAAGGTAACCAATGGCAAACAACCAATTAGGCTTTAACCTATAAGTAATCAAATAAATCCCTTCCTTTGCTTCCTCATTTTCTGTATATAACTTTGCCCTGTCTTCTGTGTGACCACTCCTAACCAGTTCCAGTTTGGTGCTGCCTGATCGGAATCAGATTTTGCTCTTAAATGCTCAAATAAACTAAAATTTTTAATATGACTCAGTTTATCTTTTAACAGTTTACATGTGTTTATATGCATATATGTGGAGAGAGAGAGAGAGATACAGAGGAAAAGATAGAGGGTAGGGAGAGAGAGGAAAGGGGGGAGTTCAAAAAGTAGGGGGTAAAAGTGGGGCCGGAAATACTCTAACTTTCTTCACGTTATTTTCCCAAGTAAGCTCTATCATTGACAACCAAATAAAGTTGGAAAGGATACAAATCATTCTAATCTGAACATGAGGTCAAGCTTGTATATGTGGAGAGCTCTACCTAGCTCAATGGCTGTGTATCCTCTCCAACACCAAAAGATTTCCTCACCATAAATAGGGTTGTGTGATGATTTTTGTGGGCTCTAGATATCTTTGCCTTTGTCAGCCCCTTCCTCAATAAAACATACCAGTAATTATATTTTGTGACCATAATGGTATAAAGACAGATATATTCCTGTCTAAATATATGATATGTGCTTATTATTTTTATTTTCTTCACATTTAAGAGATATAAAATCATTTTCATTTCCATGGATGGCTATAAGTATCATAGGCTTTAGGCACTGTTCCTTTTGTGACCAATGGATAAGTTAGCCTTGACTGTTTCCTTTTGAATTTGCTTCATCTTTCAATATTTCCCTTCCCTTCCCTGACTTTCCAATCATCTCTAGTCATCTTTTCAGTGGTGACAATGTGTACTTTGGCCTCTACACACAGATTTTAAATCCGTCTTATAATTTTCTAAGAAAAATTCCCTTTCTTCATCAGGCAATCTTTTAATTTCTCTCTCTTACAGTAGATAGCCTGTTATACACTTATCTTCTCAGAGCCTAACTTGACCAGAGAGCTTCTGTTGAATTAAGAGGGTATAGTTTAATATGCTATGGGCTTTTCAGTGAGAGCAGTGCTAATATGCTCTCTGGTTACAGATGAGGAGCATATGAAAATGCTCCTCATTTGAGGAACAAATGAAAAGTCCTCTTTCATTTCATTTGGGAGCTCTTTCTCCCAAAGTCCTGAAATAAATTTTAAAATACATATGAGTAGTAATCTTTTAGTACATTAAAAAGGCATATCAGGGAGTCTAGTAACTTTGGAAACTATTAACTTGCATTACCTTTTTCCACTTCTAATATCAAAGAACACAGGAGCTGATCACTATTACATGAAAAGTATAGACCAGTCAGTGCAACATGTCTATTTTAAGAACTTGTATATGATGCGCTTTGTCCTGGGCACTGGGAATATACAAATCATGAATAAAGCACTGTTCCTACTCTCAAGGAACCTGAAGTCTACACAAGGAAATAAATATGGCAATAATAATAATAATATAAATGAAATTTGTTAAATTATATGATAGAAAACACATAAGGAATAAATATAATGAAAGCAAAGAAAGTTTTGGGGACTATTCCCAACTATGTTTTCACGTCACATGAGGGTTATCATATACTCACATTCACATGAAGGTAACTTGAGGTATACATAAGGTAACTTATGGCAAACCAGTATTATGGAATTTTATGAAACACTGAAGTTGTACTTATGAAAACACTATATAGCAATGGGACAGAGGTTTATAAAATATTACTAAGTGGAAAGAACAGACTGAGTTGGAATATATACTACAGAATGGGGCACAAGCAAGTTCATAGTTGTGAGTGTGCAAAACAGAGTTTATTCTTGTATTATTATTCAGTAGTTACTATATTACTTTCCATATGAACAACTGTAAACATACTTTTGTTCTACCTTATATAATTATAATTCTGTAAAATATGTAAGCATTAAATTAAAATGAACATTGAAAGGAGTCCTTGATATCCCATCACCCTAATGCAACTATTTTGAATACTTTTTCTTGATGTGTCTAAGACAGAACTAAAAATGACAAAACCAACTACTTTTCAAAAACAGGCAACATTCTGTGCCAGCAATCCTCCTATAATCGTGTTTAGTCTCTTATGCCAAACAGTTTCCAAAGTTTCAGTTGCGAATCTGTGTCTGATGTACAAAATCGGCTTTGCTTATTACAATTAGAAGCCTAGTCCAGAGTATTTTTGAACCGGTATTATATTTTGAAAGATAGAGAACCAAACTAGAAACTATAATATATTTGATACAATTAAAATAATTAATAATATTTAGCCTGGAGAAGAGAGTTAAGAAGGTGAAAGGTTATTCTATCAGTAAATGAAAACTAATTATTCTATGTGAAAGAATAGGCAGAAATATAAACAATAGGTTGAATTAGAAAATAACCTATCAAACTCATATTATGGAAAGGCTAAAGAATTGTTTCAGATTGAAACAAAATAAAGGAAATGCAAAGTTTTATCCTGGAATAGATCCTGGACCAGAAAGAAAAAAGACTGTTGATACAGGGAGCAAAATTACAGTGGGGTCTGTGGATTAGATAGTACTGTTGCATTGATAGTTGTTTCCTTTTTTGAATAATTGTATGATGGTAACATTGGAGAGAGTCCTCATTCTTGGGAAATATACAAGAGTCCTTGTTCTTGGGAGAATTTGTGGGTAATGGCACAGCATGTTTGAAGCTTGTTCTCAAATTGTTCTGAAAAAGATTAAGAAGATAGATGTATAGATCAATAGATAGATAGATAACAAATGTGGTAAAATGTTAAGAATTCAGAAAATTTTATGGAAGATATAGATCACGGTTGTCCAAACTTTTGGCGTCTCTAAGCCCCACTAGAAAAGAAGAAGAGCTGTCTTGGGCCACACACTAAATACACAAATGCTAACAAAAACTAATGATCAAAAAAAATCCATGCTTAATTTTTGTGATATCCACCACCACAGATAAGCAAAAATGTTTTCACATGATAACCCTAATTACACAGTGGCCCTTTTGATAATCTTTTAAAATCATTGAGCAGGTCCCAAGTTTGAAATCACTCATATAGAAAATGTACATATCTAAGTAATAAAACTTAGTATAAAACTTAGTAATAAAGTTAAGTAATGTTGTAAGTGAATTTACGAATTTGTGTTGGGCCACATTCATAGCCACCCTGGGCTGCATGCAGCCCATGAGCCATGAGTTAGACACCCTTGATATACATGTTGCAAGTTTTATGTAATCTTGAAATTATTATAACATAAATTATATACAATTAAACTTCAGAAAAATTCAATATGAGAAATTAAACTTATGTTGTCCCAGTTTGATAGTCCCCCTTTGCCTCTGGCAGAACCAATCAAATCCTCTCTTGATAAAAGAATCTTCCTCTAAGTTTCTAAAGAGTCCCAATGATCAAGTTCAAATAATTATGATCTTGCAAAAATTAATGAAATACATGAAGAAATAATTTACTAAGAGTCAGAAGAAATAAAAAACAACACATGTAGAACTCTGAAGACTTTAGATACTGAGATTTTTGGATGAAAAACGTAAAAGTATATTTAACTCATTTACAGAAATAAAGGCTAAAATCCAAAAAAAGAGAGCAAATAATGTGCTATCAAAAATAACCAGTCATATTTGACAATGTAGCAAGATATCTTCCAGAAATAAAAATATATTTAGTGGAATTTAAACTCAGTTGTTTGTAGGATAACCAATGGAAAATTATTTAACTGGAAAATAGATCTAAAAATCTGTTACTCAGATACAACCCACAGACATGAAAAGATAAAAGCATATGAGTCATAACCAACCCAAAAGACACAATAAGTTCTAACACATATCCTGTTGCAATTCTAGAAGAGACAAAAACAAAGAATGAGAGAAAGTCAAGATCAGAGGAGATAACAGCTGAGAGTAAATTCACTGGCATAAAATTGGTCAGGAAGGATAAAACCATACCTAGATACACCAAAATCAAATTTCAGAGCAATTAAGACAAAAAGATCAGAAAAGCATACAAAGTGAAAATCTAAAAGATAATTAGGCTTTCTTTCTCAATTGCAATGATAGAAGTCAAAAATAGACGTGCTGAAAGAAAGTAAATATTGGGTTAGCCAAAAAGATCATTTAGTTTTTCCCATAAAATAAAAGACACATTTTTCATTTTCACCAATAACTTTATTGATTGGATATTTTCAGTATGTCAGCTATCTCCTGTGTGGTATAATGTTGATTATTCTCAATTAATGTCTCAATTTGATAGGTATCAAGTTCAACTGGTCTACCTGACTGTGGAGCATCATCCAGGGCAAGATCTCCAGCAGGAAACTTAGCAAACCACTTTTGAAATGTTTGATCAGTCACAGCACCTTCTCCATACACTGCCTAAAACTGGTTTGGATTTGTTTTTGGTTTTGTTTTTGTTTTTGCATTTCAGTTGCATTTTTACCTTTCTTGAAATAATAAAGAACAATCAGCCAAAAATTTAATACATTTTCTTCAATCTTCAATATTAAAATGGTTACACAAAAATTCACCAATTTCAATAAATTTTTAAAATGTATGTTGATATGGCAGCTGTCACAATATAATCTAACCAAATTGTTTCAAATGAAGTTAAAGACAACTAAGCACCACCTTATAGGAAAAAACCTAATGAACTTTTTGGCCAATCCAATATTAACCTAGAAGATTCCACACAGTTATGCTTTAAGTTACCTTAATGTTGTATATATTGACCAGATCCTTAATTTGACCATTGCTGAAAGGCCATGTTTTTGTCAGATTTTGTTTATTTGAGCATTTTTAATTTTGTCTTTTAGTATTTGAGATTGAGTAGCAGTTGTCTCTTCTAATTTCATGACTCCAAGAACTATGTATGGGACCTCTCTATTCTTCTTCATTCCTGCTTATAAACTGGCTAATAGGTGCCTGAACGTGTCTTTCTTTTAATAACTTACTAAAGACAGACATAACAAGCAATGCAAACCACAAAAAAATTGTTTTCTGATTCCCCTTTTTATAGCAAGAATTTTGTTGGGAGATCCTCATTCCAAAAAACTGAAGGCACTATTTTCACTGAATGTTTTGCCACAGCACAAAATGAATTGCCATTTTGCAATTCATTTCAGCCTCTGACAGTAATTTTCTCACTATCCACACTCTGATCATTTAGTTGAAGTCAATAGCTTTATATATTTTAGGTTGCCGTTAGGCATCCAACTTTGAGTACAAACTTCTGTACAGGTCAAGATGGCCTTGGTAATAAGCAGTCCCAAAGAGCTTAGGGTCTGAAAACAATAAAAGTTTATTTCTCACTAAATATGTTGGCTAAAGGATCTATTTTACATTATACTTACTTAGTGATGCTACATGAGAAAGTATCTACAATTGAGAATGTCACTTCTTATGGCAGATATCAAGATGAGTGTCCAGAGTTCTCTTGGACTCTCGGAGGAAGGACTTTGTGCACAGGTGCAGGAACAGCTTCCCAGCTGACAGGGCCAGGATTAGATTGAGGTAAATTAGGTAAGTGAGGCACCCCCCAAAATCAGGCAAGGTGTAAAATTAAAAGGGCACAAAAAAACCTTTAATCATAATAAATCATATTTTAATGAAATATTTTAAAATAAAATTTATTTAAAAACCAATATCAAATTTAACTAAAGACTGGCTGTCAGCTCCTTCAGGGTCATCTTCAGCCACAGAAACCCCTTTGACCCAGGTCACCATCTTTATAACTAAACACCTATAGAACAATATTCATCATCTATCCTTTATTAGAGTAAAACATTTTATATGTATAATTCTAGAAAAATGCATGCAGAAATACACAAAATATTTATACTTGTTTCTTTTAACATTTTGAGCCTTCTGGCTCCTTAATTTTTAAACAAATGTTATAAAATTTGCTAAATGATTCTTGTTTTTAAAAATTGTGAATATAAGTGTATCTCTATAATGCTATGACCTAATGGTATACTTCTGTTGGTTAAATATAACTTGACAAATAATCAAACTTTAAGTCCATATAAAAATGCTGAATAAACCATTCCTTTTGTTTCCCAATGCTTGAAGTTAAATGTCAAAATTTTAATGTTGTAAAATAGTTTATGGCCTCAAATAAATAAGTGAAGAAGCTAAAACGTTGCTCCTTTCTCTCAAACTAGTAAATAGGCTCTTGGCATAATACACTTTTAATCTTTATAGTGTGTAAAGCAATAGATTAGATGCTTTACAGGTCATACTGGCTGTTTTATTTTATTTTTTTTACAATTGCTTCTTTTGAATTTTATTTTTTTATTGTTGTTCAGTTATGGTGGCCCCCATTTTTCCCCATTACTCTCGCCTGCCCTCCCCACCCCTACCTCCCACAGTCAATTCCCCCTCCATTTGTTTTGATTCATTTTTATTTACACATCTTGACCTGATGTGTGGTGATAAAAGTGGGTTTTGATGATCTATTATGCCCTGAATCAAACATGAGAAGTTGAATTTGAGAAGAAAACATTTCTTAGGAATTTCTATTACACTAGATTGTAACACTCCTTGAATTGTACCAACACTGGGTTTCATATGCTGAATGACTTCTCAGACCTACTCAATGCACAGGCTTCTGTGAAAGTCCCTGGGAAGGAGAGGCAGGCTGGGGTAGACTAGTTGTCATTTTTACAGCTAAAGTAGGTATTATGAGTGCTGCTTATATGGCATTGAAGCAACAGGTTAGGCTAATCAACTCAGAGAAAAAGTCTGTTCACAGATTAATGTCATTATGACCCAGTCACCACCTGTAGCAGGTAAATGCAACAATACTGTAGAAAAGGCCAACACAGTGAAAACTGCAACAGCCACAGCTTTCCTTAAGCATCCTCTAACCTTTCTGGCATCTGTTTTCCACCTGGTATTGTCTCTCTGCCAAAGCAAAGACTCTTAGTGCCATTATGCTCTCCCTCCTCTCCTCTCACTTTCTAAACTTTTTTCAGAAAGTTGTTCCTTTGGAAGGAATCAGAAAAGTAAAGTCACACTGATATATGTGACTGAACTAATATATTAACTATTTCTAATGAGTCTTTCTAGCATAACTTTTATCACATGACATAAGAACCTACCTTGAGCTTTTTGTTTATTGCCTGTTTTCCTCCAGTAGAGTGCAAGCTTCATGAGAGCAAAGAGCTTGTTTGTCTAATTTATTTTTGAATCTCCAGAAATCCTAGGATATAACACTGTGCAACTCATGCATCAAAAGTGCTGAACAACCTCTCTTGATGCTGATGGAGGTAAAGCACTGATATACTTTAGAAAAGTCAACTTAAAGAGGTAGCTATAACTACAAAAATGAACAACCATCTGTTCTTGTCTGTACACCCACCATCCTGCAATTTCTTCTCTCGTAACTGTTCATATCTCTTCTCTCCAAGTTTTCATTAGCTGAAGAACACCATCTCTTTCTGTCTGAACCAATAAAAAATGTCAAAACTTTTCTCATTTGTGATCTCACTTATTTCATGATTTTTGTAAGTCTGATTGGGTTAATTTCTTCTCTGTTTGGACAAACATCCTATATGTTGTGGAACAATTAGTATAGTACATTAGGATACTTTAAGATTTAAAAATTGCCAAGGTAGACAAGACTCAGAGATAGGTATGTGAATTTACTAAGATGTGCTAGTAGTTTTTGTCATTTTTCAGAAATTTAATACTATTGC